CCAGACAGTGTCTGCTAAAGGGAACGTTGCACTGTGGGACTGCAGTGGAAGGACCACTTACACTGGTACTTCCAGTGAGCATACACCTTACCACTGTGCTGATATAACTCCACTGACATGGGGCTTATGCCGCTCCAGAAAAGGGAGTCAGTGTGCCCCCAGAAGTTGAGGATTTTTGTCAGTAGGCAAGTTGAGTGTGAACGTGTGCCAGGCTATGCCCAGAAAAACTGAGTTCTGTAACTTGAGTCTAGACCAGGCTTTAGATGTGTGGTGCTACTGGCTGCGGGCAGACAAGACAAGTGGATGTGGCCCAACATGGCCTGCTTGTTAACATTGTCCTGATGACGTGGCAGCCAGTTCCCATCCACTGTCATTAGACTAACCTGATCCCCTGTATTTAATTGAGGAAAGTTGATGTCCTGATTAAGCCCTTCTCAGATAGAAGGAGTATAAACCCCAAAGGCATTTTGTTTTCAGGCTTTCCTGTCTCAAAACCAGCTGAACTCATTCCCTCTCTTAGCAGACACCAAGTGCTAGGAAGGTTCAGATCAAAACATTTTGAAAAGAGTTTCAAGCCACTGAAAATGGGACTGTCTGCTGGACTTTCCATTCTCAGCCATTGACGAAAACAGATGAACTGCCCTGCTGTGTATGCACCTGTGCACATTGGTATCCCTTGGAATGTCTTTATGGGAAATGTCTGATTCCAAACTTTGCTTCTCAAATGTTCCTAAGTGAGTACTGACCACAGGACAAATTTAAAGGGTCAGGTTCCCCAGTACACCATCGCCATTCACCAATCACTGGTTCGCTCTGGATGCTTAGTGCTAGCCTAGTGATGCAACGCAGCTGTAAACCAGCCACTACGCATTGCTGGAGTGGTGAAAGCGAGAGAGTGTCCTGGGGAATATGGCTCTGAAAGGTCAGTTATTGTTTAGAGTTACCCATGTGTCAGAAAGTCCAGAAAAAAATACTTCATAAAATGGAAAAAGTGCATATTGTTTCCTGCCTGCAGAGCTCACAGACTGAATTCACCTCCATGGTGACCTCTCCCTTCCCTCTCTCAGCCCATGTCTCTCTCCCCACACAGCACTCTGTGGTCCGTAACGCTCTGTTCTGTCTGGAGACAGCCGCAGAGCAGGGAGGAAACCACGTGTACACCAGGGCGCTACTGGCCTACGCCTTTGCCCTGGCGGGGAAGGAGGAGAAGCGCAGGGCATTGCTGGACTCGCTTGACAAGGAAGCTGTGAAAGAGGGTGAGAGATCCCGACGGGCCCTTCTCCTGCATCCCAGCCCACTGGCCCTACTTCCCCTACTTGTAAGGTGACCATGTATTGAGAATCATATACAGGTGCTCAGAGGGGAAACCACAGCAGGGGAAAGTTAGGAGGCACCAGGACCAGGCGGGAGAATGTCTTATTTGACATGAAGAAACAAGATTGAGAGAGAGGCAGCCCAGGCAGCCAGAGCCGGCCCCTGGCACATTTCTGACCTCACAGAATGTTGTATCCCTGCCCTTTTAAACTGGATCATTGATTGTATCCTTCAGTATCCAACCTACCTATTAGGTAAAATGTCAACATTCCCTTTTTATTTGTCTCCCTTGCATTTGCCCTTTCCCTTGTCCCTGCCTTCCCTCCATTTGCCCTCTTCCTCTACTCCGGAGCTTGTTAGCTTTTCCTCAGTTTGTTTCAGTCTGTTTTCCCCTTATCTATACTGTGAAATAACTGGTCTCTCCTTTCTTTTCCTCGTGCTCTCTTCCTCCTTCCCCCAAGTCTCCCAAACTCTCTCCTGCCTCCCATACCAAAAGCTCTCACATACACCCTACTTCCCAGCCC